TGCAAGTAAATGGAACCGCGCTGATTTTCAAGATGGAAGACCTGTCAACTTGTGCGTTAGTCCAACGTCTCAGTCAAGATCTAGTATCTTCGCTTATTACTACCGTATTTTTCATAAGTTGACCGAATCAGCGAATAAGTCGACTATTTTTGAAAACCATGTTTATCATTTTGGCGTTGAATAGTGAGTGTTGATCCTCACTCGGCTCATTTTTGAAGATACCCCTTTTCCGTTACCACAAAGAGTTGTCAGAACAGAACATTAGTTACGGTGACGTTGATTCGAAAGACCGTCTGCGTAATAATTTTTCTAACCAACAGGGCGAACACATACAAACACACAACAACAGCAACAATCTTTAGTTATACTCATTCTCTTGCTCAACAATAAGTCAAGACAATGCAAATATTAATAGTAAAATTAGAGTACTGGCTGCCTGGAATAACCATAGGGGCTAGCAGAGTCAGGCAGCCAGTTGACATCAGCATTAAATAGAAATAAATCACAGGTCAGGTACACAAAATACCGGGACAAAATAAAACACGACAATAACAACAACAACAACAACATTAAAAGATAGACTAAAATTGTCCTTTTAAAGCAATCTTATGATAAATCTTAAATAACCTGTCAGTTATAAGTTACACTGCTTGTAGTCCGGCTTTTCTTTTAAAGTCCGTCCAATCTTATCCCGGCCAGCACGACTGCAAATAACGACGTCACAATCAGGGATTAGGACGAGAGGAGAAAAGATGGATTGTGGACCCTTAGGGGTGAAACAAACCCTCTGTCAGGAAAGAAAAATAAGAGACTTCTCCCAATCTTGAAATACGTCGGTGGAATTAACTTTACAGTTACACTTAATCGAAAAGAACAACAAACTTTTGGGCCTCATGGAGAACCTTCGTTGTGACTGAAACAATACAACAATGAACAACTTCAAACAAAACGAAACATACATCTTAACGCACTCTAGTCCTGCTTTTTTTTTATCTGAACTCTTCAGTTTGCAATCTAAATACTGCAAACATTGAATCCTAAATCCGAAGAACCTCTTTAAGATTTAACCTGTATGATTGCTGATTTTTCACAAGAGACTCGTGAGGCATTCCTGGGATGCAAGTTATTGGTGGCACGTTGGAAAAAATGCAACTCTCTTGGAAAAAATGCACCCTTCTTCCTTTCCAGATTGTGCAAAATCGTGATGAAATTAGTCTTTGTCTGCCGCCGGTCTGCAATTCCTAAATTGATTAGAATGCGTAATTGAGCATAACTGTTTGTAGCGGTCTATTTTATTTACGACTCGCTGAGGCTATGGAAATTCTTACCATAATTTCGTCATTTATTATAAGCAAGTACCTTTTCTTTTTACGAGCATATAACTGAATAGATAGAACTTAACTTAACCCTTCATGAGAGGGTATCCGTAAGACTTACTAGGGAGATTTTTCCGTCGAAGATAAAATCTTCATTTTCCAATCTTTTCCAAATCGTCATTGGTTGCTACAGCTGTTGCTATAGAAAACAGTAAATAGTTACAGGCCATGCACAGAATACTTTTCTGCAAAAAGAAATGGAATATTTTTTATGCGCCCAATGTTGCAAATATATATCTGTGGGTTTTTCTGATAATTGCACCAAGTTGTTCACACTTTTGCCCATACTGCAAGCAACCTTATACATAACGTGATTCTACTAATAATCTATATATCCTTTATTTAAGGGTTTTTCTATTTGGTTTCATCGACGTACACCTACTGAATTGTTACTCTATCCGGAATTCTAAACTTTGAAAGACAGTACCTCGGTCTAATTCTCCTCATTCATCAAATCTCTCTTGACCTTTAACTCAAACGTTAAGGGTTCGTTATTAGGATTAACGATTGTATTTAAAACAGATTTGATCATTATGCAGTAATATTTTCGTGCGCCATAAAAGGAAAAAATGGCAATTCTGATCTCATGTCGAAGTGGAATTTGAATTAGTCAGGCGTCGAAATGAAATAAGATGTAAAGTGGCATTGGTGAAACTCAAAATTTTAAAGAAATTTGACATTTTTTTTTGGAAAAAAAAAAACCCAGTAAAGCAAATAGCACCCTAGGGAAATCCCAGTACGATTTCGTATGCAGAAAGTTCGAATATAGAAAAACAAACGAATTAAACAAATTTTATGTATCATTTTTAATCAATATGCAAACACCGCAACTCAAAAGTTAAAAATGTCATACATTAGGTTTTGGTGCAAAGACTCAGATTTTGGCACCATACTTATTTGCACCTTTTGTGTCTTCACAGTAAGAGTGAAAAGGTTAAATATATATTAAGCGTTAAATTGTAGTGGATAATTTGTAGGTTATCAATTTTACGTTGGTACCGCCAGCCGAACGATGAGGAGTCTGTGTGAGGCCAGTGTCGGTGAATGAAGCTGAATGACAAGCCCATGTCATGAGTTTCAAACGTGTCGGTCAATTTAATTGTGATAACAGTTGGAAAAAAGGCAAGTTCGAAAAATGCCCCGCACACGAAGTCCTAAGTCAATTTTTGAGGACTGCAGAAGGATAAGAATAGAAACTTAAAAGTTTGAAAGCTTCTAGAAAATATACGAAGGGAATAGAGACTGTTTGTCGTAAACGGTTCGATGGAAGAAAAACTTTTTAAAGTCAAATATTTAGTCTTTTCTCTCGAAACATTCATCCCTTTAGTACTGACTGAAAATTTACAGTTATTACACAAATGGAAATTTGACGATAAACGCTTTTTTAGAATCTAACTTCGTTTTTAGTTGTCGTCTGTCCGTGACTTTTAAGTAAAAACAAACAAACAAACAAAACATTAGTGGTTGATGTAGCTGAGAATTTAGCACTGAAATATTCTCTGGAGAAGTATGGTTTTACTGGGACCAGAGTGTCGTTTTCATTGGTGCATGTTTAAAATTCCCTTAACTCTTACTACTCATTTAGGTAGGGCTTGATTGGTCGGTGAAATATTACAGTTGCTAATCTGCAAAGTGGAAGCAGACAAGTTAAGATGATGAAAGTGGCCACACGTAGCTGAGGGTGATCCTAATCATAGAAAATTCTGCGTTTCCGTTGAATGAAACCGTTATACCGCCTTTGTTGGATAGCCCCCGGCCGCGGCCAAAGAATTTTTTACAAGCACTTATGTAGAGCAAAAATGACGCAAAATAATTATTAGAAAGTTCAGGAAGTATACATGGCCTTTTTCTTCTGTCCGGGTGGTAAACTCTTTTTTCCATTCATGGGTAATGCTTTGGCGAACTTTAGAGACGGGCTTCAAATCATCCACTTGACCTTACCACTGCCTTAGCACTGTCATAAAAATTTGTCAGAGATAAGGATGTTCCCTTTAGTCGGACATCGAGAAAAGTACTGTTTGCTAGCAAGTACTTGAATACCATTTGGAGTTTTGAAAACGGGCGGCAAGAAGTGAGTATTTTCTCCGCAAAACTGGATAACTTGATCAAGGTGATTAAGTCCGTCTGTTTTTCTTAGGAGAATAAGCATGTTCAAGATAAGTAAATTTGGCTTCAACCTTTTTTACATTGGGATCGTATGTCAGCCATATTTGGAGAAGGAGCAATTTAAAATCAAAACAGACTTGACAACTGCTTCATGATGGTCGTGTAGGATTTGCGTGCCCGCACGATCTCCGATTTCTCGGATTCCACGTGGCTTAAGCAGCTGTGAATGGTGCTCGATGATCAAATACAACTACAAGCAAAGCACTAGTTTGAAGATTCGGCTTTCATCGTTTCCTATCATCTGACAATAGCCCCAAACCTTCAGAGAATGTCCGACGAATCCTTCACCGCCTTGCCACAGTGACAAGTATGGTATGACTGAATGGCCCTTGTTTTCCGTGCTCCAAGAGCAAGAGAAGATATCCAATCAGATAACTCCTATCAACTAATTCATATCATCCAAACTTAAGCGAAACCTTTCTTCCGCTCAAGAGCTGTAATCAGCATCCACTCGAACCTTAATGAAGCCGACAGTATAGATGATTTCAACCGTCAATACATGTTCGTGACCAACTATTTGGTGGCAGAGAATGATATTTGCTTTCATGCCAAAACGTTTAGGCTTATTTCCAACACTATTAGACAAAACTGCGTTTTAATTGAAGCATTCAATAATAAAATGTAGACACCTACATTTATACTGTCTCGGTGATCTTCTGTCGTGGTTCTGAAGCAGAGTTTTTTGGAATAATTTGTTTAGTTAGGGTGGCATGTGCCCACGTCATATTTGCTCAATATTATCGTGCATCATCAGAAACTCAAATAAAAGGTATAGGTCATTGAAATCCAAGCCTGTTATGTGCTGACATAAAGAAATCCTGACTAGGTCATCCTTAAAAGAGAAATATTTCCGGTTTAATAAAGCCCTCTGGGCGTTAGTCAACACAGTTTTCATTGGAAACCTCGACAGAAGGAGCTGCTTTAAGGCGCGCTTAGTATGTTCAACTCAGCACATCTGTAATCAATAAGTTCGGCAAATTTGTAATTTACTAAGTCATATTTGCAGCCAATCAGGATGCATAAAATGGTATTATAGGCAGCTCCCGTCAGCCTATTTTAGGGCTCAATGCATGTGCTAAAGAGATTAGTTGAATTGAATGCGTCAAAGCAATCAAAGTGAGGGCCATTCTTGACTTTTGTCTATCTGAATCATCCCTGAACAGAACGTCTTCGCCGAATTCATGATGAGGGTAAGACGGAAGGCTCGCCGAGTTCCCCTTCTACTAATCTTCATGACGCTCACGTCCTACTTCCAAGCCGGACAGAGTGTATGGTAAGCATATTCAATGCACGACTCTCTTCTTCCCACTTTGTTTGCATTTGGGTTGGCGTTTTCCTTCCTTAACAAGGTCCTGTTATTGTGTTTTGCCAGACCATCTGGAAGAAATGAAATGTAGTTCTGTCAATCTGAGGTTTTAGTGTAATGTTTACTCACTAGAAATTCTGCTTGGGGAATTCGTTTAATTTCAGATTATGGCAATGCTTTTAGTAGGAGCTGAAGTGACGTTTATATTGTCGAATTAACTACATTTCCTTGTCATAACGTTTCTCTACTTTTAAAACGCTGCTTTGTCCAGTTTCGTCCTCGGTTGCGAAAGCGTTAATGATTTTATAATTTCTTCAGAGGCGATTACTTGCAAATTACTTAACCAAACATCTCGATCTTCTTGGTCTTCTCTAAGGTCCCTTGGTATTCCTAACCAGGCGTCCTTCCTTGGCTCAATTCAACACTATTGCTATGCAATGGGCTTGAATGAAGAACAGGCGGAACTGTGCTTGGAAAATCGAGAGCTCATTGTTGGCGTTAGATATGGCGCTAGACTCGCCGAAAAGCAATGCGAGTACCAGTTTCAGTACCGTCGATGGAACTGCTCTATCCCAGAAAGAGATAGGAACTCCTTATTTCATAGGATAACAGGAACAGGTTAGGATTTGTTGGACTTAATTTCCTTGTATTTTATAAGCTGCAATTCATATTTTCAGTCTTTTTTAAACACATCTGCTATCGTGATTTTGTGGTGTTTGTTTTGTGTAAGAAACATTTATTAATTAAAACACGGTGCCCTTGTTACCGATCGGCATAAATCACACCACGAAATTACGCCATGAGGTGAACTAATTGGGTATCTTTATCTCCCTTTGTATTTTACCCAACTGAAAACATTTTTCGCAGCCCGATCGAGGAACCTGCAGTTGCCCTGCTGAAGAAGCTTTCAATTTTAGTACTTGGGAAGTAGTCGTTGCAGATGGGATGTCCGGTCGCTTTCTCTTCAAAAGTAAACGGGCAAATTAGTCATTCCTAAGTTGCCGTTTCCGCAAGTCAGGAGGGGTAATGATACAATCAGGTTTTTTTATAGCTGGCCTCGATAAACTTGCCATTTCTTTATCGCCGGCAACCATTGTTGTGGTTCTGTTTGTCCGTCACAGTAATTCCCTCGCTCTCAACTCTCGAGTGAATCGTTTCCCCAGATGACATAATATCACGAGCTAAACCGGCACCGAACTATTGCAGCTCTTCACTGTGAGAATTTTGTTGATTGGAATGTACAATCAAAATATTCAGAATCGAGTCGAGTGGAATTATAAATACACAGTTACAATTACATTGACAAACACCATACATACAATTGACAAGAAAATCATTTGCCATTTTACAGTGTTTTTCCACGCTGTCTTGTTAAAAGCCCCTTTGCCCTTAAAATATTTGACTCCTTTTCGGCTGTCTAAGAATAAGCGACTCCATTAGCGCTTTCTCCACAGGAGCACGTCAGCCTGATTTAGCATACCTTAATAGACGGGATTATAATGTTCTCTCCGTCAAGTGTATCTCTCGAATCTGTCGGTTGCTCTCCTCTTGATCTCTACGTTATCGTGTTGGAGAGCCCCTAATTAGGACGAGTGTTGAACAGAAAATGTTTCTAACGTCTTGGTTTAAAACGGAAACAAAGGGTGCCCAAAGCGTTTTTTGAATATGACCGGTCTTCTTTCCTTTTCGTGTGTTACTATAGCATTCACAGGGACTAACTACTTTTCATCAAATAATATCGGTTGGCCTCTTTACACCTACAGAAAGTCCTGCGAATCTCAGTGATAATGAACATTTCGTCTAAGTAGGGATTAGAAGTATTACGCTAGGTTGAGCTAAATGAGCTGTGAAATATAAACATATACGAAATCTTTATTGACCTACTGTAAGCCACTAATTTTAGGCGCGTGTGGCTTATCTTGAAAAGAACGTATGGTTAAGATAGACTTTATTTAGTTTTCGATTTTATTCTCTTTCACACCTGTGTTATTCTCTTTTACAACGGGTTCCCCTTAAGTGTTGAATCATTTTTTTTTTGGTGTTCGTGTTCACTGAGTTTTTGCGATGGAAGAAGACCTTTTCGTCCCCTTTTTTTCTAACTACCACAATGACAAGATGTTCATACCAGTCTCTCTATAAAGGACTATGACTATTTGAGCCACTAGGAATTTTTTGAACCCGTCAAATTCTGATGTGGCTCTCTCTGGATAAGGACGACAAGAATAAAAGAGTTAATCGAAGAAATGGAACTCTTGAGCCTGCTAATGAAAGTTGAGCTGAATTTTTTAATTTCAATTAGTGCTGTGTTTTTTTCTTGGTATTTTTCGAAATGCCCTCTAGGTGTTTGCATTTTGACCAATGCCTTTTGACCGCGCGTTTGATCACATGATGACGGCTTGTGTGCGCGCGACTCGATTTTGGAATCACTATGGACTAGTGCACAAATAATTGTGGCTCCTAAATGGTTATGATTATTATTTAAGAGATGGTAATTACAGTCAACTCTTGCCTTGCGGACATTCCTTTAATACGAACATCAGCTAAATTCAAGGCCGAAAAATGAATTGCAGAGGTTTGACGGATCATGACGGATATAAACTCCTGCTATTATGGACTCTCGCTAACGAGGACAGTAACTCAAGGTCCCTACAGTGTCCGAGATAAAGGTGTAGTTGACTGCACAGTACATCAAAATGAATGAATGGAAATTAATGAACTTTAACCTCATTCCCTGAGAGAAGCTAATTAATAATGCAGTTCGTGTGCATCTCCTGTTAGCACTTTTCCTTGTTTTTGTTATTTTTTATGGTCACTCCTCTGCGACGGAAGCAAAACCAGTGTATTATTCGTTTGATACTTGAAACGGATTCCCGAGTTATATACTGCTTCGATACTTAGCTATGGGCAAAAATATCTATAGAAAAAGTATTACCAGAAATGAATGCACAAAATTGAACTGAAAAAGCTAATGCATGCTCAAAGTTATCTATCCATTCCCATTTGAAGATGGTAACATCGAAAGCTACTGACTTTTGTTTCTTTGTCTCATGTCTTTCGCATCTTTTCTTGGTGTTGAGAAACCTGTTAAAATACGATGGAGGTGGGGTGTGGCACTACCAGCTTCCCATTGAGTTAGTTGGCCCTTTACTCGGAGTCGGCCAACATCCAAATTTGAGAACGACACCAAATTTTAATACCGTACAAAAGTCAAGTCAAGTCAAAGATGCTTTATTTGAATGGTCAAGAGTTAAAACAATAAAATACCCAACTTTATTACTGTTTAATGTCGGTGCAATGCAATTGTTTCTCATGACTGAATTTTCGTCGCCAAGCAAACGTACTATGACCAACCCACGAGGTTACACTGAGGACAATTTTTCCTGTTATTTTATGCTAGGAACCCGTGAATCTGCTTTTACGTACGCCATATCAACTGCAGGGGTTGCTTATTACATAGCCCGACAGTGTGCAATCGATGGAGATCTCAAGTCATGTGGGTGTAGCCGTGAAAGGAGACCAAAAGAAGTTGACAAAATGGCCAAGGAAGAAGAGGGAGTCCAATTTGATTGGGGCGGATGCGGCGACAATATTCAATTTGGTACTAGTTACGCAAAGCAATTTATGAATGCAGGCGAAGGGGGCGGTCAAGAACACAGAGACATGCGTGACCAGGAACGTGCACGGATGAACAAACATAATAATGAAGTAGGAGTACAGGTAGGTTCATTGAATATTTCGAAACGGATCTCTGGTAGACAGTACAAAGCATACCCAATTCAGCTGACTGTCTCCTTTTTTTGTAAGAAATACATATCAGGTCGTGGCCTAGGTCTGGAACTCTATCCCCCCCCCCAGGGGGGAGGGGGGATTGGTCTCAAGAAAAATTTTTTTCGGCCCTCCAGGCCTTAGTTTGGTCTAAAAATATGGGGGGCCCCGGCCCCCCGGACCCCTCCCCTGGATGCGCCACTGTAGTCATAGTAGCTGAGTGACTTCTGATGAAGGCATTCAAATTGTAATTATGTTTCGCGTCTTTTTTTCTAATTCTAATGCTAGCTCAATTTCTAACTACCTCTTCTAATGAACTGAGTGCCAATTTAGTCATGCTGATACGGTAGTCCAAAGTTGAGAAGCTCTTTACAAGTCGCTTATCCGCACAAGTAGGGTTTTTACAAATCGTCATACACTCGTATGACATCTCCATTTGATTTTGTAGGAAACTAGAGTGAGACACAGTTCTAGCGTTGGCGATATTTTCTTCTTACCATTAGTGTCAAGCCAGGGGTCAAGCCTTGTAGTTCAAGAGTCTTATATAAATACAACATTTTCATCGAACATTTTCTTTAAAAGTAAATGTTTATGTAACCATTTTTTGTATTGAGAACTCTCTAGTATGTGACCTCTTAAAGTAAAGAGTTGAGGCCTCCTTCAACTTTATGTTAAGTGGCTGAAAAGGATGCAACATTTTCATATTTTCCGTCCTTTTGGGTTAAGCAAAATCAGAGCGGCTGCAGATTTCATTGCAGAGCTATCTAGAAAACCACAAAATAAAAATATTTCTAGCACCGAAAATGTAAAAATAGAGTAACCATAGACCGGATATTTCGTTGAAAAGTACCGAGGGAGACACTCAATTTCCGCCGCTCTTTGCACACTGTTATTTTGGACATCCAACATTCAACTGGCATTTTATGGACAATTCTGCAAGGCGTTTTAATCATAATCATTTTTAGAACTTTTGTCTGTTATTTTAGTATTGACAAGCTAAGCTTCATTAAATTGGAAGCCATTAACTTTAAACCGGAACATATATCTCACTTTTTAGTGAGACAACCGAGTCTCCTTTTCTTGGAGGAATGGGAAGGGCATACACATACCTGTACGCAGCCGGTGGTCGTCATATCTTTGAAAAGCGCCGTCTCATTTTGTTCTAAAATTCTCCCAGTAAAAGTGAGAATGTGTTGAAATGAAAACATAGCTATTTGATCATGACTGTATGAAACAAAGATTGCGTGTTTATTGTTTTGCAATTAAGTGTTCTCCTGAACAGAAAGGAAACCCTGGGAGTGCCTTAATTTTCAGGTTTACAGGATAAATCACGCCCAAAGTTTGCCGCAATCGCCTAATGGCCAAATATTTTCGATGCAATATGCTTCGAATTAACAGATAAATTAATTGGCAATACTCTTAGTTGACAAGACTTTCCCGCCCGTTTTAACATTAACAAAATATTTGAAATCCTAAGGAAGTGACTCTTATGGTAGAAAAATCGAACTAAAGTTCTAGTTCTGATATGCAGTTTATAGTGAGTAAAGTTTCATCACTTTGCTTACATAATGATGATTGCTCATGTAAGGTTAAGGGTGAAAAAAAAAAAAATAAATAAATAACCAAGTTAAAAAAGAATGAAAAACTGAGGCAGGAATTGGAAGACCCCACGAGATTTGGAATTTTTTACCCGTCAGAGCCGGAACGCTATTACCGGGGAAACTGGTTCATTCCTTCGCTAATTAAAGCCAAGGAAGTAATAATTGCTTCGAAGACAGCGGTGTTTCTGTTGTATTCAGACAGACCAAAGGTATTTGCGACAACCGTTTTTAAATCTTAAGGTGTCTAGACTTGTTTCAATAGCAGATCCTTTGCAAAGGGAAGGCATCTACTAACAATTGAATCTCAGATATCTCTAACGTCTAGGGATGAACAGAAAATCTCGAGTGCTTATCTTGATGTTTTCGTGAGGGGGTCATGATTCATGTGAATCGAGAAAATCGAACTATAATCTCATAAAAGCTATGGCCACCGGCAACGGATTCAAAAACTCACTCGAGTGTCTTTTCATTGCTGGACTTTTTGCTGAGGGCTGCTAGCTCTCGAATCGTCCGTTTTTGAAGGTCTCTTCTACTTTTTCTTTCAATTAAAATTGTATACTACTAATAAGTAAAATGTAATTTCGAGTTTCTGTGGTTGGAGATTTTTATAGCCTTCGACCGTATTACGTAACACTTATACTTTTAAATCAGTAAAAAATACTTTTAAACAAGCACCCACAGCATCAAGAGAATTCCTCCAAGTTGTCGTTTTAGTAAAAATTTCAGAAATAGCAATTTCAAAACCGAAAACGTAGGCCTTTTTCTACTATTTTCCTTCATGTCTTAAGCCAAAGACAGTTTTCACAGGGATAAATACCAAGGGGCTTTTAGTAAGAATGGTCTATTGATCCTTAGGGAGTTTCCATAGCGGTTAAAGTTCTATTTTCTGGTCTGAGAGCTAATAAACCTTGAGTAGAAATCGAAGTTCGGCGAGCAAGTGCGTAAATTCTTCGAAAAAGGGTTGTAGTTTGTTTATTGTTCTCCTGTTGTTGTTTTTTTTTGTTTTATTGAAAAGGTAATTAAAAAACGTCGTAAACGATTGCTAGTAGGAGGGCTGCTGAATGAAAGTTTATTAATTGGAGAATCTTTTATTATGAATGCAATTTTCCTTTGCCCGAGGCAATATTCGCGCAAATAACCAAGTTTCTTTGGCGTGGTTGTGCTATTTTACCATATTCCCCTGCTGAGCTATCAATAAGAACCTCAATCTCCTTCACTAATAACTATGGAAAGTATTTTCTCTGAGGGATTGTCTGTCATCAGTAGATTTGCGTGTCCGGGTTTCCTACAAGGAATATGATTGTGCCAATTACGATATTTCAATTTAAACGAGAAAAATATGTTTTATCCTCCTTCTCTGCCTAATTAGTTGTCTGTGAACATCGACGTAAAATAATCTTTGGCCAGTAACGTCTTCCCTTTTCAAAAGATGACCGATTTAGTGTTGAAGCATGCTCATAAAACAATCAGATTGGGGAATTTTATTAACGGGCTTTGCCATTGTTGCTTAAGGGGGTCAAAACTCCCGCTAAAAAATGTACAACTAATTTTTTATCATTTTGGTAATTTAGTAAGAAATACATTTAACATTTCTTGTAGCTTAAAGGGAAGTTTTTAAGGAAATATTTCTTCCAGAGACGTTTTAAAATGGACTTTCTATGACTCAGCTCAAGGGAAAAACAGGACCGTTAAACGTTCCCCGGCCTAGAAATGTTATTAAGTGGCTTGCCAATCTTATTCTTGTATTGGCCATTTTCTCATATCATAAGTAATTTCACGAGCTAATCTCACCTTGAATAAAACAGACTTTTCAACATTCTTCATCTGTGCAAGTGAATTTTGTGAAAATAATTCTTTCCTTGTCATGGCGTAGACCATTATGTAACCATGTTGTTTGTATTGTTGTCGGACATCTTCATCTTATGGTAACATTACAAGCTGCATGTATCGTCCCCATTCGGCATCACGGATTATGCCAAGTGTCAATGATGCATTATGTACCATTATCTCCGATTACGTTCATTGCTACATGTCCACCTCTCACAGCAACGCTTAGAGTCCGCCTTCCATCACTAGGTGCCAAGGGTTCAGGGATAGCACATGGTCATTTTGTCATCTTCATGGTCAACCGACTGCAACATTTAACGCCACCAGACCATCACCAGTTAGCACAAGTTGGTCACAATCGCCAGTTAGCACAAGTTGGTCACAATCACCAGTTAAACACAAATTGGTCACAATCTCTCGCCAGTTATAGCACAAGTTGGTCACAATCACCAGTTAGCACAAGTTGGTCACAATCTCTCGCCAGTTATAGCACAAGTTGGTCACAATCGCCAGTTAACACAAGTTGGTCACAATCGCCAGTTAGCACAAGCTGGTCACAATCACCAGTTAAACACAAGGTGGTCTCAATCGCCAGTTAGCACAAACTGGTCAGAATCACCAGTTAGCACAAGTTGGTCACAATCGCCAGTTAGCACAAGCTGGTCACAATCACCAGTTATAGCACAAGTTGGTCACAATCTCTCGCCAGTTATAGCACAAGTTGGTCACAATCACCAGTTAGCACAAGTTGGTCACAATCGCCTCCACATAAAACAAAAGTGATTTAGACATTGTTCTTTCCCTCAGGTCATTAAAGGCAGTTCTGAGATCACTTGCAAGTGTCACGGTGTTTCACAATCGTGCGCATTGAGAACATGCTGGAGAGAGCTTGTCGACTTCTCTGAGATTGGAAAGAAACTGCAGCAGAAGTATGACTCTGCTAGTAGAGTTAGATACGACAGACGAACGGGTAAATTCATAAGGATTAAGAAGACCAAAGAAGCAGGCTTAAGTCGAAGGGGCGGAAAACGTAGAAGTTCTAGAATACCAACCTATCGAAGCCTTGTTTTCATTGACTCCTCGCCTAATTATTGTGTACGCAGCAGAAGACACCAGACAGTGGGAACCAAGGGTCGAGAATGTAAAATCAACTCAGATGGCGGCGACAGTTGTACAGATCTGTGCTGTGGTCGTGGATATCAGCCAGCTGAAGTGGTGACAAAGGAGAAGTGCCAGTGCAAGTTTTACTGGTGTTGTACTGTTAAGTGCAAGCAGTGTTTAAAGAGAACGACAAAATATTACTGCCTTTAATGAGGTACTTCATGATGCCATCTCGTCACTCTGAAATCGCCCCATGCAAGGGAATCCAGATTCCGGAATGCTTGTGGATTCCAGAATTCTATAGGCTTTGGAATCCGGAATTCCCACAAAAGGTTGGAATCCAGAATCCAAGTTCCACTGACAAAGACTGGAATCCACCCCTGCAATCCGGAATCCACAGCGTGGAATCCAGAATCCAAGACTGTCCTGGATTCCCTTACGTGGGGCGACAGAAAGATGTTGGTCTTAAACGCCAACGATTCGTGAGAACCCCTCTTCAATCTGATTTAAAAAGTAACAACATGAGGTGTAGAGAATGAAATCCTACCAGTGACCAAACTGAGATTATCCGTTTGCCTCTGTATATGCAACTGTTCAATTTAAATTGACCCCTTAATCACAAATCACTGAAGGATAAAATGTGTGGCCTAAACGTGGTTTGTTCCAGGGGAGGGAGTGGAGAAACTTCGAAGACTCGTCGGTGCGTCGGACTCGCAATCCAGAGGTCCCTAATCACAGTCCACAAGTCTTTTTTTTCTTCTCCGATTTTCCGCTCCTCTCCTGGCCAACAAGTTTGCTTACTGCTTAATATGGGAATCATTTTTGTTCTAAATTGTAATGAATGTATTTGACCTTGTCTTGCAAGAAAATTAATTTTCAAACATTGCATAAAAATGACGGGATATCCTAGTTAACTTCATGCATATCACCTGTTCACCTCCTGCGGATCTGTAGTTTAAAATTTATCACTTTTTTGGAACTTTCGTCTTTTGATAAATTTAATATTTAAATTCAAGAAATGATTACAAGTGAGCACTGTTCGAATGTGACAAATGTGATGAATCTAGTACCAAATCAGACATAGTAAGGTGTAGTAAGGTATAGACTGACGTTTTAGCCTCGTAACCCCGGCAACACAGTGACGTCATAAGCACTTAAACGCATTTTGTCAGTTACTGTGAAATCGTAGACATTCTTTTTCAAGTTCTTATAGATCCAACTTCTCAATTTCCATGTTTACTTAAAACAACCTTGATTTGCACTCATTTTAAACAATTTCTATTCATAAAAGCTTTCCTGAGAAATATTTGGTTGAGGTTTGGCTGTTTCAGTGAGTGTTTTTTTCGAGTTCCTCATACTCCCTTCATACAATTACCCTGCTTGTGAAAAGTATACTTTGACTATCGTTTTCAGACCATTCAGCAAATTTGAAAAAAGGGAGCTTTGGTTTAAAATTAGTTAACATACAGTCTTTCTTTAAACCGTGACTAAAGTCCTACAGAGTTCTTACTAAGTGGGAGATTTCTTTAACTTTATTTCTGTTTTTTTTGTTGTTGTTCAGAATGAGAACATATGGTCTCTGAAAACCACCTTTAATGGTTAGCGTTGGGTCGTTTCTGTCGCCTATTTTTCCTATGAGAATTGAATGGCGTTATTGTCACTGACGTCCCTTTATTCTTTTTACACTTTAGGTTGTTCGAGACACATCCAAAATTGTGTGTAAGTGTCATGGGATTACGGGATCATGTAATTTCAAGACCTGTTTGAGGTTATTAGCGGAATTTGTCGAGATTGGAAACACATTGCACGAAAAATACGACACTGCCGTGCACGTGAAATTGGAACGTAAAAACGCGAAGAATCAACTTTTCATTAAGAGAAATAGAGAAGATCAACGCCGAGACTCTTGGAACAAAAGAAACTTCCAAAAAAGGCCGACTAAAGACACCTTGGTGTTCTTGAAGGTTTCGCCCAACTATTGCCGAGGGAATAAAGACTTTCCAGGGACCACTGGGCGTTTCTGTAGCATTGATTCATATGGCGTAGATAGCTGCGATGAACTGTGCTGTAAAAGAGGATCCGTGGAAGTGTTATTAAGGACTGACAAACGATGCAAGTGTAAATTCCATTGGTGTTGCGAAATACGGTGCAAGACATGCTCCGTAGAGGAAACTAAGCATAGATGCAGGTGAACTATTTACTAACGTTGGAAAGCAGGCGATGTTATACAGTTAATCAAAGTCTGTCCTAGCGTTAAGCATGACCAGTATTTTAAAAACTTCCATGGTTTCCCCCGTCAGCGTTGAACGTTGGATGGGACTTTCATTATCGATGGTAGATAGCTAAGAGACATTAGATCATACAAAAAAAAGATAGTGGAAAAATCTCACCCATTTTGTGAATGTGGTGAATTGTACCATGAGAAAAAGGTTTGTGAGGTTTTGGGGAGCACAGTAAGGTAAATCATACATTTTAAAATGTATGAACAAAATTTAGGTTTAAGAAGATACGCCAGCCAGCATTAAAAATAAATAAAATAAATAAATAAAAATATTGCTTGGTTAATTGCACCAAAATTGCAGCTTGGGAGTTTATAAAGTTTCCCACCTCCAAACCTCGCTTACCTTTTCAATATATCCTCCCTAAAGGTTCTTCAAAACTTTTAATACGTTAAATATTCAGATATATAATTAACAATTATTGAATGAGGGTGAGTAGAATCAGAGGAATTGCACAAATTGGGGAGGATATCCTCCGAATTCAATTATTGTTTCATTATTCATTCAAAATATTTCTAAATTCTTAACGTTCTTACCTCCTCGAAGAATTTCTTGACTCTGACCGGCACAGTTTTAGGATATAAACAGATGATTATTTTATCTTGCAGATAATCCTCAAAAAGTAGAAAACATCCATCGAGTAATATGTTTTGCGCATTCTTGCATTTCTTCCATTCATTTTAAGTTAGAAATTCAGCTATTTAGTCTTCTAATAGCCGTGAACGCCATTATTTTTAGTTCGCTATTGCCCAAGCAGGTCTCGTTTCCAATCAAATATACCATTGTATCGATGGTATACTTCTGGCTTCTTCCAAACATGGTAAGCACCAGTTGGTTATGAAGAATTAGCCGGGGGATTGGAGCCAATCAGGAACGGCGAAATATTTTGAGTGAATAATAAATGCCGATATTCCATGCTAGTTTCACGTAATCTGGCGCCCACCAGTCAAACGATACGTATGCTTGAATATTTTGGCCACTGTATAAAGCTTTAGTTGGCTTGAACACCGAATGTTGTGACTGCATGCAACTGTCTGGGTCGTGAATAAACTGATAATCATATAGATGTGATTTCAAACATGAACACTTTTTTTGTTAAAAATGGCGAGTGTCACACGACCCTCCACAATATTCACATAAGAGCATCCGTTCATTGTCGTTGGATTAAAGTGGCTACGTCACGCTCAGTTGCATCTCTCGAGAGTTTAAAGGGCGTCTTCGCATTAATTGAATTCTAAAAACTAAGCACTGAAACTGTGTCCAGTCCTCTGTTGCTATGGATGCAGGGATGGACTTGGATTGACACTTGACCAATGGTCTCAAGTTTTAATGCCATGCCTGCAAAAATCACCCCAAATTATTATGGAAATTTGTTTTGATATCGTCTTGATAACTCTTCAGGAGCATTTTATGTATGGAGAAAAGTATTAAGTAATGACTTAAAGGAGCTCTGTTCCGCCACGAAATTTATCAAAAATCAAACAGTTGGAACCGCCACCAGATTGAGTGAAACATGAAAATAACAACTCAAAACAGTAAAGGAAGGTATAAATGGAAACCCCCCCCCGGGGGGGGGGAACTCCGCATATGAAATGGGTGGGGATGCTCGTCGTCTCGGTTAGGGGTGTAAATTTCGGATTTTGGTCTCACTTAGGGTGTTCTGGGCAAAACGCCATCATATTTAGCCGTGAAGGTCTCGTTTAGGGTTGCACGCGAAAAAATATAAAAATAGATATTTGATATGTATATTTTTTTCGTCTCTTTTAGGGGTCAAAAAACGCTTGGGCCACGCCCAGATCGGTCTCCTTTAGGGGTTTAATTCAAATTTCCCACGTGCGTCCTCACCCCTTTCATATGCAGAGTCTTACCCGGGTATAAAAGTAAGTACGGATGGACAAACTTGAAGAAGATTGAAACGGATTGTTAGCCTAACAGTTTTTCAAAGTTCATGTTTTTGTCTGTAACTTTTGATATTTCAGACTAATGCTTAAGGGGCAATTTGTTTGACATGAAGCAGTGATTTTGTCATTTGTAAGTAACTTGTAAGTTCCGTCGTAATTGGTCGTGTAATTCGTGAACTTGCGCAACAGGACAGAGGAGGAAAGACGACGGCAAACCTGGTGTGACAAGGGTGGCAAAAATTTTGTTTGAAATAACTTTCCGCTAAACTTCACCTTTCTTTAAACAGATCTGTTTGTAAAGACCAGAAAATATTAATGGTAAGTGAAGATCACGACAAAACTCGTAAGTAACAGCTGTCACGTTTGTCACGCATAAGCGTTTTGCTGTCCTCTTCTTCCTGCCGTCCTGTTGGGTAAACTTACAATCAAATGTACTGCATGGACAGGCCGGACACAGCCCCTTCAACAAAGACTGGATCTAAAAAAGCAATATGATCCTGCGACTAGGAGGAAGGTATAAATGTATTCCATGTAATTAGTTTTTTGATGTTATACGTATAGCCTGCAAGAAACTGGATAAAAATATTTAGATTTGCATTTATATTCATCCCACATATTTAAATTTTTTACGTTTCATTTTATCGCTTTTACGCTTGAGGCTAGACAACAGCACTCGGTGTCGAAAGGTTGGTTAGGAAAACTTGTTTAGTCAGAAAACGTTTTGAGTTACATATTATTAAAATGTATGTATAACCTATAGCTTACAAGAAATTGCATCTATCTGCTATAAGGCCTGTTTTGAGTATAATTATTAGATAATTATAATAATTATTATATAATTATAATTATTATTATATATTAATAGTTATTATTGTGAAAGGTTTGAACCCAGGAGTCATTTCATAAGTAGGTTGAGTGTGATCGTCCGGGTGAACATAGTCCTGAAAAGGACTGTTGTTGTTGATAGTGACTGACGTTTCGACAACCTGTGCTGTCCTGTCATCTTCAGAGTCGAGTCTGAAGATAATTACCGCACAGGCTGTCAAAACGTCAGTCACTGTTAACAACAACAGTCCTATTCAGAACTACCTTCACCCGTACGATGATACTCAACCTACTTATAATTACTATTTTTGTTATTATTATTATTGTTACTATTATTATTATTATTATTATTATTATTATTATATCATCATCATCATCATCATCATCATCATCATCATCATCATCATCATCATCATCATCATCATCATCATCATCATCATCATCATCATCATCCAGCAGCAGTAGTACAATTTAATTTTTCAATTAGCCTTGAAAACAATCGCCTCTCTACGGGGAGCGATGAGAGGGGACTGTCTTCCTGTTTTTAAGTATGTAGCCTGTAAGCTTTTTACACATTTTAAAATTCAGAGGCAAGCAATGGACGAATCTTTGCTGACGTCATTAATTATATCTATACTATCTCTTTGTTTATAAGTGGTTGATCGTAAAAAAGACGTAAATTCTAGTTTTAGATTAGATTAGTACAAACATATTTCAAAACCCGCATTAGGAAAAATAACGATGTTTTTCATTGCCTTGCTGTCTACTAACTAACGAGAATTGTATTTTTGATACCAAACGATTTGTATGCCCACAATAATAGTAACAATAATAATAAAAATAATAATAATAATAATAATAATAATAGTAATAATCCTGATCGTTATGATGATAATGATAATAATAATCATACGGCGAGTGTCAGACATTGCCGTCATCAGAGTTAGTGTAGTTCTGAAAGTTCTGTTGTTGACAATTACTGACTTTTTAAAAGTCTGAGGGAAATGCGCTGAGACTATTGAAACTTGTCGGGATGATTCCATTCCATTAACTCTGAAAGAGTTGTTGGTTTCAAACCATTTATTAAAGAAATAAAAAAAGTGCTCTTTGTGTATTATTGAGTTCTATAAGGACGTGGGAGCTTTTAAGGACCCAAAAGAAAGCGCTTTTTTCAAATGCAATTGACTGCGCTTGAACTGGTTCCGTATGCAGCTTTTAAGCAAAGGTTGCCAACTAAGAAAACTTTGTGCGCCAAACCGCCTGACCTCTATCGATTGACATTTGCTACCATTGTTTACCGAGGTATCAAGGACACACTGAGAAATCTCAGTTATCATTGAGACCTGGTTAACTCACTAACGCTTTGCTAAATCAGAGTTACTAAAAACTCTACCATTGGTTCCTAAAGTTACGTAATCCTTTGACAAATTTGGGGTTGATGGCCACAGGAATTATGTCGATATATTTTTTCATTGCTCGACCCGATGGACCAAAACACAACTACACGTCTTGATGACAAACAGGTAATATCCGTTCAATGAAAAGCTAAGGATATTTCAGCCAACAAAAAGAGATTTTCGCTTAGGTAGGTTCAACCCAAGGAGTTTAGGTCTACCCAGCTGTCCGGCGGAAACATAGAAGTATTTAGTCAGGTACATGACATTACTTACAGTGTATAAGGGTATAGGATTGGTGACTTAAGACCACTCAGACCTTTGAAAGCAATGGTTGGAAATCACACGAACCCTTAGGCAATGGTTAGTTTTCAACGAGCTTAACTGAAATAATCACAAAACTCGCTTGAAGAGGACAGGTTTAATTGCCAGTTCTCCGACCGGAAAAAAGTGCTTACTAGTTTCACGCTTGCTTAACTCCGCTGACCAAGGAAAACGAAAAAAAATCAGATGAAAAGAGATATCAGGAAGAAAATTATTTGTTTTAATTTTCTAAATTGATCATTTACCCGCTGAAAATTCAATAAGCACCTGTTGGCGTCACGTGTTTCGAGTTGCGTCATTAATTTTTAATCGTCCAATCGCTTCGAGATTTGTTCATATAATAGATAATGCGAGAAGTGTAGTTGGATAAAAATGAAGTGTGTTTTTTGGTATTTCCTCGTATTTTTTATAGCATCAGCTGATGCAAACAAAGATCCTGCGTTAAAGGTAGAAGATTCGGACGATCTAGGAGTAGGAACTCGGACCGAAGAGGTTAAAAACAAAACAAGCATGACAAGTAACACTGCACATAGGAACATTTCTTTACACGGACCAGGTTTGATCATGTTATCTGTTGAGATTATCAAGAATGTAAGCCGCACGAACAACGCAACATCTCGCGATGGGTCCGAGATATTTGTCATTGATGGAGACAGTCCGGACGAAATTTCGCTTTTTCAATCACCCAAGGCCTCGCCGTATTTTCCACGTTTTAGCGAAATCTCGATGAGAACCTTGTATCTTATCGTTTGCATGTGCTTGGCAATTCTGCTCCTTATGATTGTCAAACTTCTGGTGTCGAGACGAGAACGCAAAAGGGACTATGATCTGGTCACTAAAGGAGAGTTTGACGCTTAAATGTAAATAGATGTGTGATCATTAGCTACACAGGATCAAGTATCACGAGCCCTATTGCTCTGGGAAGAGACATTAACACAAATCTCGGTTTAAAGACTGTTGACATCATACGCTCGACCAGCGCCAGTTTATAAAAATGATATTAACTTTTGCTAATGATTTTCATGGGCGTCAAGAAACCCTTACTGCCAGGAAACAACTCAAACACTTTTAGGAAAAGGATGATAGTGGTATAACTGCTCCAAGGAATAACAAAACTACCCTCTCTCTTGCGGAATCTGTGGAGTAGGTTAAATGTAAAACAAATTACTCAATATTAGAATTTTGGAACAAGAAGGAATATCTGTTTAATTTCAGCAAAATCGCTATCTCTGATTAGCAAAAAGGTGGGAAACAGATAATATCTTTTTTACACATATTAAGCAAATGAAAGGAAAAAAATTGAAAATATAGGGGAGTCCCTGTAACCATTTGCGATATTGTTTATTAAAACACACTTATTGTGATAAATCAATTACTAAGATGAATGTCGCCTGATTCATCTCTTGTAGTTGCAAATACAGACGGGTCTGAGTGTAAGAACTTCATTTTTTTTTTTGACGTTCTTTTCATATTTTTGCCCAAAAGCGTTCGCGGCTGAATTTCGCTCCATCACTGTCCATCGCTCATTTAAGCGTATATAAACATTTTATCTTTAAGCAGCCAATCGTATCAGAGGAAAGAAAAACTGTGGATTATCCCTTCCTTTTGCAGGGTTAGATTCGAGGGTTTAAAATATATTTGATACTCCTTACATGGGGATATCTGAGCGCTTTATGGTCACTTTTACTTCACTAGTATTAAGTTTCAATCGAAAAACTTCACACGCCGACAATAGATCATGAATATTCATTTGATAATATTCACCTGAAATTGTAGGACGCAGGTGCAATAACTCTGCGTTTCTACTTTCTATCTAGCAAATTATCAATCATTATCTCTAGGCCCATTTGGCACAAAAACAAAAAAAACAAAAATTTTCTAAATGTTGGACCAAAATAATGAGTTAACCAAGCTTATACACTAAAAAGGTTTCTTTTCTCTCGGAAGATCACCAAACTTTATTTTTTTTAGCCTATTTTGTCCAAAAACAAAATATAGAAAAATTTTCAATTTTTGTCCAAAATTATGTGCAAAAACATCGAAAAACTTCCAACTATGTAAAATAATATTTTTAAACTCTAGCAGGCTTCTTTTCTATCTAGAAGATCGCCCATTATAATTTTTAGGCCTATTTTGTCCAAAACGAATACCCCAAAAATAAATCTACGTGACCGAAATCATGGGCTAACCCCTTTGGAAAAATTCGAATTTTGCCACAATGTTAAAAATTATATTTTATCGTCAATTAGGCTTATTTTCTATCAAGAATATGAAGAAACAATATTTTCTGATTTATTATGCCCAAAAGTAAACTAGGAAAAATTTTCCAGTTTTTGACTTAACTTGTCAGCTACAAGCATAACATAACATAACACTTTAGTAGCATTCCCATATACAGAAATGGTAATATTGCTTTTAAACTATTACAATATCATAAATTTAGTTATATTTAAAATCATCAAATAAACAGATAGTATTCAATGAAAAGTTATGATTAGACATCTCTACTTCTCATGCTTTTGTTTTAATGGAATAAAATTCTCTAAGTTGAAATGCTTCATAGACATAATAGCCAAGTTTTTTACAAACATACGGATCAATATTGTTAAAAAGAAATATAGCTTTTTCCGATTTGTTCAAGTCTACGAAATTAGAGCAAAAATGCAAACAAAAATAGCTGTCATAAGGGGCAACTTTTGAGCAACTTTCTAGGATATCGAGAAACAATATTTCAAGGTTTATTATGCCTAAAAATAAAAAAGGAAAAATTTTCTACTTTTTGACCAAAAGCATGGGCCAACCCCTTTGGAAAAATTCAAATTTTATAATTATGTTTAAATAAATTTTTGTTGTCTTGAAATTCTCCTTTTCTTTTTAGAATATTAAGCAACATTATTTTCAGAAATTTCTTGCCCAAAAAACAAGCAAGAGAAAATTTATCAATTTTGCACCAAAATCATGGGTTAATCCCGTTCGAAAACTCAAATTTTGCACTATGTTTAAAAAAGCTTTTTTTATTAGTCTAGGAGGGCTATTTTTTGTTATAATGTTAACAAACAATATATTTCCAGGAATATTATGCCAAAAATTAACTAGAAAGTTTTCTTTCCAAATTTTGAGAAAAATCTTTGGCGATACCCTTTGAAAATATTGGAATATTTTTTTTCAATTTTTGACTTAAATCATGAGGGATATACCCTTAGGAAAAATTCGCGTTTTGCCACTATGTTAAAAATACATTTTTATAATCAAGAAAGGCTTCTTTTGTATTTAGAATATCAACAAATAATATGTATTTTCAGACATGTTATACCCAAGAAGAAACTAGGAAATTTTCCCAATTTTTTTGTAACATCATGGGCTAACCCTTTTGAAAAACGTCGAGTTTTGCTACCATGTTAAATATACTGTTTTAATAGTTTTGTATCTAGAATAACTACGGAAAGTATTTCCCGGTTTTTTAAACCCAAAAATAAAGTAGCAAACATTTTCTAATTTTTGATCCAAATGATGACTTCGAAAACTTCGAATTTTGCCACTAAGTTAAAAATACTTTTTTTAGTCTCGAAAGCTCTTACTCTATTTACAATATTAACAATCATTATTTCCTGGAATATTCATAGTTTAGTATTTTTTTCTATCTAGAATATCAGGAGGCAATTTTTTCAGGTTTATTATGCCCAAAAACAAACTAGAAGTAATTTTCCAATTTTTGACCGAAACCATTGGCTAACCCCTTTGGAAAAATTCATATTTTGCCAGTATGTTTAAAATACTTCTCTTTCTATCCAGAATATCAAGATATATTATTTTTCGATATTTTATGCTCAAAAATAAACTAGGAAAATTTTATCCAATTTTTGACCAAAAGCATGGGCTAACCCCTTTGGAAGGAGTCGAATTTGTCACTATGTTGAAAATACTTTTTCATAGTCTAGTACTTCTTTCTATCGAATATCAAGAAATAACATTTCCAGTTTAGTAAGGCTTATTTTTATCCAGAATATCAAGAAACAACATTTTCAGATATTTTATGCCTAAAATTAAGCTAAAAATTACAATTAAATTAACAATAGGATAACCCCTTTAAAAAATTCGAATTTTGCCACCGTGTTAAAAATACTTTTTTATAGTTTGAAACGCTCCTTTTCTATTTAGAATATTAAGAAGCGTTATGGCTAGAAATATTTTGCCCAATAAAAGACATGGAAAATGTTTCCTATTTTTGACTGAAATGATGGACTGACCGCTTTAGAAAATTCCAATTTTGCAACTATGTTATTACCTTTATAATCAAGTAAGGCATGTTTTCTATTTAGAATATCAAGCAACAATTTATCTGTTTTTACCAAGACCATGGCCTAAGCCCTTTGGAAAACTAAATTTTGCGCGAAGATCAAACTGCAGGAGAGATTGCATGTTTTCCAGTCCAATGCTGCGACTTTCACGATAGATCGCATGACCTAGTTAACATTGAATGAAACCTAGGACCAAGAAAAAACCAAGATGGGGGCTGGAAAATGTCGTGCCTGTTCAGTGATTCCAACGTTTATATTGAACTTCAGCACAAGAGCTTAAACGGCTAGCCATTTGGTCAATTTTTGCCAAATTGCACCCTTTTTTTCACCTGTGGCGGGGTGTTTCCATGCATCCGAAGCCGAAGCCGGAAACACAGCTAACCCATGGTCGAAATATATGCATGCCTCGGCAGTAAGATCCATAAATAAAATGTCCTTACATTGTCCAGGAAAGAACAAACACACCACTTAAGTGAAGTTAGATGATTTGTAATTAAACACTTTCAAATTCGTAGATTACAGAAACAATCGTTTTTTTTTCCTAAAGAAGTCCTTTTATTTCGAAGGCTACGCAACTCGGCCGATGCTGATATTTCGTGCCCTGGCTTCCTGTGTGGAAACCAAGCATGGAAAGGTTTCTGGCACCCAGGTTGTACATAGCCATCATTAAACAGAGTCAGGATAGTAATAAAATGCTCATTCTAGTATGTGGACTCAAAATTTGGGTTAGAGAATTTCATTTCTTTATTCTGCTTTCCAATATCTTTCATAAGTACAATGCAATGAATATTTACAAGCAATAATAAGCTAATCCAAGAAAGGTTTTCTGTACAAAAATCTTTATCCATGGCCTGCTGGATAATGTTTCCAAATAATAGAAAAAAAGGCACATCACATTGATCAGCAGACTTCAGTTCGACTGAAGATCTTGTGCTTTAAACTCCGTTCTTTCGCCCCATGTAAGGGAATTCAAGACAGTCTTGGACAACCTCGTTCCCAGGGTTCACTCTACCCGTCTATACGAAGCGAGAGAAGGGAACAACTAGAAGAGAACCCTAGGAACGAGATTGAGTCTTGGATTCCGGATTCCGGACTCCAAGTGCTGGCTCCTGGATTCTGTCAGTGGATCCTCGATTCCAGATTTCAATCGTTATTGGGACATGGGATTCCGGATTCCTTAAGCAGTATTCCGGATTCCTCAAGCAAAAATTTCCCGCATTCCAGAGCCTGGATTCCCTTTGGGGGCGAGTCCTTCGTTTCTCTGGCTTTGATTATTGGCTGAGATCAAGTGTTACTAAGTTGCTTTAACTACTCGAGTATAACACTATTCTTTATGTCTCTGGCTTAGTAAAGTGGGCGTAATATAAACATGAAGTCATTAAAAACGTACTTTTTGCGACATTTATCAACATTAAAAGCCAGTGAAACATGTAACCTAAACTCGAATTGTATTATAAGATAACAAGCGAGATTAATAATAACGAAAAAAAAAAAGTATGTACAGCCACAACGAAAAGTAACCAATGGCTCAGGACCTGAATGATCCAAAAACAAGTCAGTATCATGATCTGATCGATACTCTTCACAGCCGTTGTGTGTGTCGTCACGCAAGGCTTTTCCTTCTAAGGAGGAGCGTTGCGTTACGAAGGTGATGTTACAACAGACGATTCGCTTCGGCGATTTTTAGCGCAACACAGCGTCACAATATTTTTACGACATTGTGTCGAATAGTTACAACATTGTTCCAACATTGTAACGATGTGTTGCGCTAAAAATCGGCGCTACGAATCGTCCCGTGTAACATCACTCTAAGGGGCTACGATTTTGTGTGCAATTAAAAAATTCAATTTGACTAAAATATTCTTGCCTAAAGGTGATGTTACACGAGACGATTCGCAACGACGATTTTTAGCGCAACACAGCGTTACAACATTGTTTCGAAGGGTGACAACATTGTTCCAACATTGCAACGCTGTGTTGAGCTAAAAATCGTTGTTGCGAATCGCCCCATGTAACATCACCTTAAGACATATGATAAACATCTCTCTGTTATGATCATAAAGGTAAATAAATAATGTGAGGAGCCACGTCAGCCAATGAAAGAAGTAAATCCCCGGTTGTGAGCTAAAGCCGGTTATTTCCGCTACAGAGCACAAAGCTTAAGAGGGCTACCATCCTATCGTTTTTGTCAAATGATAAAGTTGTCAGTATAGGTGATGTTACACGGCACTATTCGCAGCGATGATTTCTAGCGCAACACATCGTTGCAACTTTGGAACAATGTTGTAACTATTCGAAACAATGTCGCAGCAATGTTGCAACGCTGTGTTGCGCTAAAAATCGTTCTTGCAAATCGTCCCGTGTAACATCACCTTATCATTGGTCGACGCAAAAATGGCAACGCAATGTTGTAATAAGCAACAAAAAACGATTTCAAGTTCAACGGTGTCACCGGAAAAAACTCCCGACAAGAACATGGCTTCCTTGTCCTCAATACATGAAAAGAAGGGCTTTGAAATTCAGATTAGAGGCATACGTAATCTCCCTAAGATGGCCTCACATATGAATTATCCTACGGCAAGTGATCCATCCTTTTCTTCTAGTTGGCTAACTTTTCTAAAAATAAGACTTTCTTTATATGACCTTGTAAAAGAATTAAATAACTTATTTCCTCCTAAATTATAATTCCAGACGACTCTAAATATGACTATTCTCTAGACTATCCGAAGGCTAGCGCATTATAATCATCGAGATAAACTATAATAATAACTCCTGTAATAATAAAAAGCATCCTGGACGTAGTTAACCCCCTTAAGAAAGTTTTATGCGGCAAGGCTCCACCATGAGGTCTAACCCCTTACCCTTTCATATACCAATTTAGACAGAAAAGGTATTCCATTCGTATACCTTCTATTGACAAATGGTTCCCCTTTTTAAAACCTCGTTTAGAACTTTACATCCCTTTTATCTGCTTTAAATGTATTGTCTATAAAATAAGAATAAAATCACAAAACCAAAACGTTTTCTCCCCAAAAATGCACCCGTTTGCCTTTTTGGGCCTTTTCACAGGCCAAAATGACAGATTTCCCTGCCCTTTCATAAACTCCCACTAGGGGAGTTGTCAGGGCAGTGCTAATGTCCCTTTACTCCTCTAACATCCCCTCAAAGTCAAACTTGCCTTGTATGTTCACCCATAGCACTGTTTTTCATTATAAAAGTTTGTCTTTGAAATGAGAAAAAGGTCTTAAAGTGCGCCGCAGTGTGCAGGGGCCCGTTTCTCGAAAGACCCGGAAACCTTTCGGGTCCGAAGGCAAATTTTAAAATCAAAACCTGTGGAATATTAGCTCAGTTCCTAGCCCACAAACCAGACCAAATTACTTCGATAACTGATGTTTCATTGTTTTACTTTCAAAATTTTGAAACATTGATCTCGAATGCAAACACAACAAACACAAAACAGCTTTCCGGGCCCGAAAAGATACCGGGACTTTCGAGAAACAGGCCCCTGGTGTCAAATCCATCTACGATGGGATCTAACAAGAAAGCAACTGTTTCTTGGTGTCGCTCTAAACGCTTCGTTTTCGACGCTTTATCAACCAATCTCATGTCGCAGAAAAAACATCGAAATAGGAGCTAATAAACGTATGAAAATTTTTTTTTCGTTGACTTGCGCGATTTGTTTGGACAGTTACGTTATAGCGAGAAACCTATGTGGTCTCTTGATAATAAACATTTTCAGCTTGTATGTTTTGTTTCCCATTCCAGACGACGTGATAGTACCCCAGATAACTGTTCTTTCAAATGCCGTCTTTGTCGTCGCCCATGTGCATATTCAAGAAACGTGCGTAGTATTTACTTTGAGAAGGTAAATTTCATTGAGAACATCGCGTGGTCTAAATTGGGAAAACGAAACCTACAAACTAAAAAGGTCTTTACCAAACACGAAATAGGAGGGCTTATTTCTTAAAAAGCTTTCCTTGCGACCGTACAAGTTTTTTTCTTTCGAAAAACATTGTTTACGGTCAGCTGCGTCAGTTCTGCTTGTTAAAGTTAAAGAAAGTGTTGACCTTTTTACCATATTATGTAAGAGTTACCAGAGAAGAAGCTACATTGGTCTGCCTGGTCATCAAGACTGAATTGCTCATTTGCACCTGAAAACCTCTCGTCGTTCCTTACAATTCTTGCATTTCACATAACAACACCAATGAAATTTGCAGTTGCACTTCCATTTATGCACAATCTCGTGAGTATTGTATCCCCTGCCGCAGCATAACAGTTCGCATCCTCCTTCTTCAGTAGAAGTCTTGTTACATTCCCGGTCCACGGTTCCGGTGATTCTTTTCCCGGCGTTGCGCTCGCAATAATTTGGGGAATAGTCGACGTGAACGAGAGTTTTTGGTGAGGGCTTTTGGTGACCATTTGTGTTGAGCGTAAGGAAGGCGTCTCTTCTGCCATAACGGGACGGGATTTTGTATGCCCGAACCCGAGCAGATTCTTCATATCGCTGTCTTAAAATAAGGCCCACTTTTCGTAGGGTAGGAAGCGCCTGCCAACATGTTCTCATTGAGCATGATCCAGATGTCCCATGGCAGTGACACTCTATTTCCAGACTTTCTTTGAGCGCCTAAGGAAAAGGGTCCCCAAGGAAAATACTGACTTAGCGGACGTCTTTTCAAAAATTGTAATAAGAAACCCCATAATTCTATTGTAAGGGCATGATGCTGGCTGGATCTATTTATCAAACGGAAAACCAAAAACCGCTAACCCTACCTTTACGGTGGGCTATACGTTTACCATTAACTTTACTTGAACGTTCGAGGATCACAGATCACTATATTACATGAACGAGAAAATTAATTATAATTTTAGTTGGTAGGTTTTGCCTTATACCACACCTCACACCGAGTTGCTGTAAACTACTTAAGCTTTTACCCGTGGTATTACTACAAAGCCATGGACTGCCTCTCACGACCATAATCACTAATTTGTGCCGGCGATGGTGATATGCTTGCCTGTGATTTGGCCTCAGCCACTACCAAGAATTATATAGATTCCTTAACAAACGAAACAACGGCAAATACGTGTAAAACTGATTCAATCACATTCGTAAGTATAAGTTAAGAAAATAATCGTTCCGAGTAACAAAGATTATCGCATTTGTTGATGATCACTTCTTAAAAGGTCTTTATACTCAGCATAACGATGTAAACATGTTATGCCAGGGGAATAAAAAGATCGGCAACATCGCAGCAATGGATGTTATCCTATGGAATGATCCGGAGCAGGATTCGAGATCATCCGGATCATGATACACTTCAAAGGAACAGCTAAATTCTATCTGGAAAAGGATAAATCGGCATGTTTGATGCATCATGATCCGATCGATGGTGGATCATGAGCAAAGTTTTTTTAAAGACTTCTTGGTGTACATGCATGTGCGACTCAAGTATAGGTACAAGGAACAAACACAGTAACTCTTGAAACTCAGTAACTTCTTGAAAATTAGTGCCTTTGGGCATAAATAGGCACTCATCATAAGAGAGGTCTAGAATCAAGTTTACGACGAACGGAAGTGGCCAAGTTCATGAAGGGCTTTCTTTTTAAGGAACTGATCGACTGTGTTGTCGCGTCTGTAAGGGAGTAAAATACAAGGATTTAGTTTTAATAACTGTGTTGAAAAGGGACGGTAAATTGGCCACTGGAGGGGGAGATTTGCCTTGTCCCTTGGCCTCATTTTCCACGCGGCCTATGCGTTTCGGATCACGTGGTCCGTTCATCTCGGAAAGGTCACTAAAATGCGTTGACCATGAAGGCCTGGGCAAGGGGGACCTGATGTTTCGAGCGCCAGCTAGCCCTTCGAGAGAATCAGATTCAGAATAACAAATTCATAAATTAGGAATTGAGGGGATGAAAACTGTGCAAAATAATTCTTATGGATTAACCTGTCAAAACGTCTTATTTTCGAGTAGACATAGTAAACGACAAGTACAAGTAATCACGGGGTAAAAATTGCAGTTTGCTATTTGCCGTAAAAGTGATTCCAAATCTCAAGATACAGTGTCCACGTATATGCTGCTTGAACTTATGCTATGGTCGTCCAGGCGTGAACCAGCCTTAGCGCAGAGAGGTGTGATATAAGAACCAAAAACCAACTTTAAAGCGAGGACTTGGCAAAATTGACGTTGTTTTCATCATTTAGCAGAACTTGCTGGTCTCAAGTTTTCAAGAACACACAAGAGATCTTCATGAAGATTTGCTTTATTAAATATTACGAAGCTTCATTTCACTTCGACAAAGTCTACGTGCTAATGTTCGTCCTTCTAACGAGAGTCGTTATCTGTCTCAGTTAAGTTTAAGTTTTTGATTATTTTTACTCTACTTTAAGCTTAATATTATTTAAGTCTCCTGCGCTTGGCGCTCTGTCAAAATTTGCAAATGTTTCCTTGAATTCATGATGACAATTCTTGTCTACGTATTACGTCTGATTACAGACCATACTCTGTCTTGAACGTTTCGCTCTAAATGTGACAGTATGGAAGTCTTTTTCCACTCCTTAATTTCGCCTCGTCTATCATTCGTAAAAACATTAAATGTAAATTAATGCGTGCAGGTTTTTGTTCTTCTTTTAAAGCCCATGTGTTCTATTAATACTAAAACGGGCTGACATTTAGTCTAACAATGGATTGTCAATCTTGCTGACATTTTGTCACTTGCAAGTGTGCTTCACAACATTTTGGACACACTCTTTGCATCTGACCTGACAACACCAGTGGAACTTGCATCTGCACTGAGTTACTTCGGTGAAGTTATGTGTGTCGTGTCCACGCTCACAGCACAAGGAGTCACAGCTGTCATCGCTAGTCGAAGTAACGTTACAAACACGATCCTTTGTCCCTGGAATTCCCAGCCTGATATCTCGCACACAGTATGTATGAGAGTCATTCGCATACACCAAGCTACGCGAGTCTGGCTTTCTTGATTTCTCAGATTTTAGAACAAGGTATTCAGGCTTTGGGCCTCTGTTGGAGTCTACCGTTATAACTGAAACACGAACGGAGTTGTAGTAATATTCCTTTAAACGCTCGCCAATCACACGGATCGACGGAAGCGCTTTCCAACAGGTTCGAGTAGCGCAGGATCCCGAGAGCCCATGGCATTTGCATTCGAGAACCAACTTTTCCTTAAGAACCTAAAGTGAGCGAGAAAAATGTCCCAGTTTTAAGAAAAATCTCTGTCTCTCATTCCGTTACTAGAAACAAAGGCGTCACTGTCGAATTTTTGTGGTCTCATGTCGCCAGTCTTTCAGTAAATCCAACAAATAAGTTTCTTTTTCAAATTGTACTCTGCACGATTTCTCACATTTTGCCATTTTTAAATGCATATTTTCGCCTTGACTCCAGTCTGCATCGTCGAATTCTTGTCCTTTTTTTGCGAGTAATAATGTGCGACGTTTCATTTAGCAAGACGACGGTTAATTCGATCAATTTTTAAACTTTCCTGAAATTCGCGAAACATTCTTATACCACACCTCCCCTCAAAGAAATGTGATTCTTAATGCAGCAAAGTTAAAAGCTTTAAATATAATATTTATGTAGGTGTCTTTCATGTTGATGTAGTAGCAATTCATTTAAGCTTCTTTAGCAGCCGTTTAAATTACCAGGGCGCAGTATAGAAGGGAAGAAAGGTCAAGGCACCAGCTTTAGGGTAGAGACCTCTGGGATAGAGGCAAACTGTCAAGCCATTACCATTCCTTACCCAGAGATTGGGTCGTCTTACAAGAATTAAGACGTCAATCACCTTATTACATTACAATTTTTAGCGACGTACCCAACAAACACGTAAGACTCACATTCACTGCGAATCTTTTCATCTTAACCCTGGAGTGCAAGAGGGTTCTTGGTTGGACCGGCCTGTCATAGGTTTTTCAAAGTTATTTTTGTCAAAAATTCTTCTCTTTAAATGCTGTTCCGAGACAAAAGGCGCCGCACAATTGGTCGCTATGGTTACAAGAGAAAAGGTCACAGGCTGCGTAACAATGAGCCACTTATGCTAACGTTTATTCAAAACAAAATAAATCATTTAGAATTTTTGTACAATTTCTCCGCCATCTTGACAAAATCCAAATTGGCAAGTAAAATTACAGATACTAACCATTTAATAACGCCATAGGTTGCAACCTTTCAATAATCTTTGTTATTATTCATGCAAAATATTTATCCATTTCTGATTGGCTAAAAGCCCGCAGATAATTCATCACAACTAGCCATTGTTAACCAAATTTGGAAGAAGTTTGCGATATGTGAAAAATGAGGTCAATTCTACAGCATAATTGTACAACATCAGCTATTTGGAGAACATTTGTAGAACTGAACAACCCTTGATCTCCTAAACTTGCCGATAAACGGGCAATTGAAGATGAACTGAACATCGATGGAGGTAAGTATGTTTTGGTTTGTTTTTAGACTAGGAATTATTTTGAATGAATAATAAAACAGTTTTTGAATTCGGCTTTCGTATCATCTGAAGAATTATGGAGATCTCGGAGGGTGTTATGCCGATAACACCCTTCTCGATCTCCACAATTCTTCAGATGATACAAAAGCCAAATTCATTAATTGTTAAATGTTGTCACGCATTCCGTAAAAACTGAGGAATCAAGTTGTCTCTGAAGTTTGTTTCAGACTCCAACATTTTAACCCGTTTATTGGCTGATGGTATGAAACGATAATGATTATCGGCATTACCGTTGTTTGCTCTTACTCTGCCGATCAATTCAATTCATCAAGGAGTCGAGCTGTTATTGTTTTCTACTAGCTCTGGTTCTCTCCTTGCAATTAACTGAGACTAGTCTGTATTTATCTTCTGTTTCAATTAAATATAAACCGTGATTTTCGGTTCACTGGAAGAAGAAAGAAACGGTGAACTAGCTTGTCGTGAGGAAGAACGGCCGTCCTTCGTTATACTTTCCTATTGCTTGAGTGTAACGCCGCCGGCTTACCAAAGGTAAGAAATGGCCGGCTGGATAGGTAATTTGTAAATGAAATGTGTCTTTTTCGACAGTTTTAGCAACAAACCAGTAACTATCCAGCCTGACCCAGGGCCCTCGGGAGGACGAGGTTGATCACGGCCGTGAACACAGGCTAGAAATAGACTGATCAGGTTGGCTTGCTAAATAAGAGTGACTTTTCTTTACAACTATACTGGTCTGGCCGGTCAGTTCATTGTCAGCGGCTTGAGGAAAGTGTGAGAAGGATGTTCAAGCTCAACTTCAATCTCTTTGCGAATATGTCCGACTTAAAGAGTTTCATGGCCAGGAGATGTCCCTCCTCCTTGATCGTTTCGTTTATCTTTAGTTGAGAAAGGGCTATTTATAGGTAACTAAGTAATTTTCTGACGTAAATAACGGAAGACGAAGCTACGCCAATAGTTAATCAGTGAAACTGAGATAGTTATAATATTTTATGTACGTTTCCTTTGGTAGCCTAACTCTCTATTAGGAACTTGCCACTAAAGAATAATAGAAAATTGGCTTCTCCTTCACTATACAGGTGGGAATAACCTCGGGACGTGCTCTAAGCTCCTTTCCAAAAATAACTTTATCTTCGTTGTATTAAAAGTCCTGTTATGAAAATAACGTAAAGTATGTTTATCAAGTTCCCAGCTGTTAAGAACCCACAGCTAATATTATTCTCTGCAGGCGGGCAAACAGAACCAGGGTTTTAATTTAAAGAGAATTTAACAAAATAAAGGTTTTCTAGATCATAGTGTGAAGCTATTATTTATTTCACAATAGTTAAAATTGCTCCCCCATCGAGAGGGAACGCTTGGCAAAGAGCATGACCGTCTCTGCTACAGTCACTCTCTACGTAGCTTCAATCAAGGGATGAGGCCGTTAAGATTTTCTTCAAAAGTTAAACATGAACTTAAAAGAAATTTCACTTTCAACAGGAAAAACATTCTCTCAAAGACGTGTGGGACGGCACGTCGAAGACGTTAAAAAGAACTCGTTTCCATTCACGACTCTCTGATCGGAGGCTAGCAGGTAGCGAGAAAGCAGAGACTTGTTCCAGCGCCGGTTCAATGTTTTAGCAAGTTGTAAGCTTTTCGTAATGAAACTTCTAAAAACAGTATACGGTTCACAAAACCAATCCTTTCCATAAACAGGCATAAAGAAATCACAATGCAATTAACGTAAGAAAAAGTTATCATTAAAACTGATATATTGGTTAAATGCAAGTTTGTTGCCCTTAGTTCAAACCTCGCTTGTGTTCAGCGCACAGCAACTTTACCAAGTTATATAAGCTAAAGAAGACGATTTTTAACTCAGCGAAGATAGCGACAAGTTATGTTTCATATAAGCGAGGTGGCGGAGGCATGGTATTAAGGCGTCTCGTGAATTGTCTAATGGTTATCCTCTTACGTCATGCATTGTCCTATTTTTGATGGTTTCATTTAGTTCGTTTCTTGCACATTTTGTGTGTTCGAATCACTTCGACCCCGCGAAAACTTTTTTTTTCTTCACCTCATTGACAAACACAGCCCGTCATATCTGAGATGGATGCGTTATAATTAAATTGGGATTTTGTAATTAAAATATCGATTCAAACAACGGGATATTGAGTCAACAAATTCAGTATTCGTGCAATTTTTAAAATTACATTAAATTTTAAGATAGATTTCTATAATTCAATGCAGAAAATGTATTTTTCTTGCTAAAAACTAAAACGTGTTAAGACACAAGACATGCAGTTGGTCTTTGGAGACAACAGGTCGAGACCAGTTGCATGATATTAAGAAACGAGGTTTCTCTTGAAACGTTTTTCGATCACATTTTGAAAACAATAACCTCCAAAAGAAATTAAAGATACTATTTCATTCAGATGATTTTGAAGCAACGGTCTTAATTTCCTATCATGGGGTCTTGTGGTTAACTAATAAAAACTTTCAATAGAAGTTTTATCATGTTTTATCAAACAATATGGGTGCAGCCAAATGAAACGAAACTCATTTTTTTCTCTTTCTTTCTTTCTTTTTTTATTTCATATCTATTTATTAGTAATACTCTCATGCAAATACTTGAAGGTCAGTTCTGAGAAAAAAGGATTCTTTAAATACCTAAAATGCCACGTTGCATAGAATTATCGTTCAGAGTTACCGTGATGGAAACTATTGTACATCAAATTAGAGCCCATGAGACAAAATGGTTTCGTGCAAAGTTACGACATTGTATGACGAAGAAAATCCGCGATTGTTTAACTCTCATTATCATTAAGTAATTAGAAAAGCAATTATGTCATTGAGGCTGTGTTATAGGCCACCTACCTGTCTGCCTGCTTTGTTGTTATGCTTGTTCATCAAGTATATGGCATCGTGCGTGTTGTGGCGGCCATTCACAAACCGTCTGGAAAGATTCATACCATAACCAGTGTCAACTGAGCAGCCTCCCCACATCCAGCCTTTGCGGCTATTCTGCCCCCATTTTTCCCTGTCGCAGTTGCACTCGGATAAATTACCCATGCTGCAGGCTCTTGTGATCGTATAGACAACTCCAGCAGAAACCATGGCTTGTGCGAAGGCGGCTTCTTTTGTACCGGCTACAAAGTGACGACGCCAACGTCATTAACTGGACTCCCATAAAATATTAGCGAGGCCAAATTGTCGGAGGAGGTGGGAGGAAGGGGGGGGGGGGGGGGGGGGCCAGTCGCGCGTTGGAGTACAAAGAACGCCCTCAGCAAAAACAGGGGGCGGGGGGGGTGGTGTGTTCTTTCCGCACTCAGAGAGAGGGCGCGCCCGCAGCTGGAGGCGTCGCTCAAGAAAAAGAGGGGGGGGGGGATTGGGGGGGGGGGGGGGGGGGGGGGGGGGGGGGGGGGGGGGTTGTGACCGTTATGTGCTGGCGACGGGCAATTGCATGTCCAAACTTTAAAAGAGAGCAAACTTGGCGTGGCCCAAGTATTTTTTGAGCATAAAATGGCACTATTCTAAAGTGACAAAGATGTTGCTACCAAAATCTTAATTTAAATCCCCTTAACGAGATGACGAGCGTCGCTGTCTCTTTCAAATGGGAGACCAACCCCTAGTCTTTCCCACACCGCGGCGGGTCTGACAATTTTTTCGCGTTTAACTTCTCATCCACGTAACTCCGCCGTATCTTGAGTCATCAAAACCCTTTTTCAAACATTTCAATCAAACGATATTCATACAGTACAAAGTGATCACTTCAAACTGATGTATCGACGCCTCTGGTTCACAGCATTGTATAGACTAGATAACTTTCAATTTCCCAGAATGAATTTGTTTTCTACAAAGATATTTTTTCTTCGCGCGTTGTCTGTTTGCCATATGCTCCTGTCATTTTAAGCCTACCTCTTAAGGCAACTTGAAAACGTCTTCGTAACTCAAACATTTCTTACATAGCAAATTAATTTTAAAGGAACATGCTAAAAATAACTTTTTGTAATCGAGTTATCAAGATAAAATGACTTTGCTTTATTGAAAAAAAATGGATCGTAAATTTTCAATGAGGTAATTAAAATAAGCCTTGTCAGTAGTAAAACGTTTACAGTGTGTGGAAGAAAGAGAAAGACATTGAGAAAGGAAAGTAAAAAAGTACTCAACGTTTGGTATTCTCAGCAAAGTTAAAAGAATAAAAGTTAGTGACACTTTTTATTAAAAGAACAAAATCTCCTAATACTAAATTTTAAACGAAAGATTCCTCTACACTCCACTGGCAATTTCTCCTTATTGTAACGGTCGTCTCTGCGAGCCGATAGAAAAGGATTTAGACAGGTTTGCATTTTAAAACACCGCTCATGATCATTTACATAGCAACATGACGAGGGAACAAATTCGATGTGGCTCTTTTTTCTATAACAACTTCCCATCTTCACCAATGCATTTACCTGAATGACTCTGGCAAAATTTATGACTTCTTACATTTATGTATAAACTTTTTTCACGGTTTTGTTCAAGACGAACATTTCATCATGGTTTTGTCTGTGTTTCTCTTGGTGACAACTCAATCTGTTGAAATTATCTTCGTTGAGACAAGCATTTACGATAGAACTAAACGGAAATGCAATAAGAGGCAGCGGTAATTCATTAGCTACACTGATTAAGGCTAAAAGCATTGATGACAATTTATGGACAACCTTTGACACAAGCACTTATATCATAGACTGTTAGCACTTTTCATGTCCTTAACATAAGCGAGCTCTCTTAGCTTAATCGGCAGCTATTGTATACCAAACAAACAAATAAATACGATAAAACTCTTCAATTTAGGTGGCGCGCTAAATTAAGCCACGAGAAACTTCCTAATATTTACAGGGGCTAAAGAGCAATCTCATTAGGAAATAGTAATCTTACTCACGTATTGCCAAGTCATCGAAGTCCGAGCTCTGCCCCAGAACAGTACAATTCCATCTGTTGTTGCGGAATTGATTTTTGCATTCTTTGGCGGCTTCTTTATAGCCTTGTCGAATACAGTTTATTAGGGTCGGTTGTTCCTCGCAGATCCTAATTTGTTCAGGCGAGAGGCCAGGGATCCTACTGCAAATCAAGCTCGGACCAAATGTTGCAGCTGACGAAACAAACCTGTCATAGTGTCAAGAGAGATAAAAGGCTGATTGAATCATTGTGTCTCAACAAAGCACAAGGAGAAGAGAATACGACTTTACTTACAATAATGGAGGTTTAGCGTCCAACACGTTATGTGCGAAGACCGTTGCAAGTAAGAAGCTTATTAGGGTTACCGCGTGTTGCCTTTCCATTTTAGCGACCTAAGCTTCGTTCTTTTCATCAAGCCGATAGACAGATTCAAGATTATAAGCCCGAAATGTTGGTTGATATTCTTTCTTCTGATTGGTCAGAAAAGAAACTAATAAAATCTTTAATTTACTCTGTGGCCAGAAAACAATTGGAAAGGAATTTGGTTTTTGAATATTGTTTCCTATGTTAGAGGAATTTGAGCTAAAAAGTTTGCCGAACTTTATTGTACATCTCTCGAGGCAACATTTCGTATTTCCAATGGCTGATCTTAAAATTTGCTTATTTCCGAAACCGAAGGAAGATGTTCAACCTTTCCAATATATCCATTCATGACCATAGGGGTCTTGAACTTATTAAAACAGTCATCGATAAGAAAGAGGTGTTTTAATTGAAGATTATACTAATAGTGTATGGCCAACTTTTATTACGGCATTTTGTACAAAATATAATTACTTATGGAGGCATTTTAGAGGTATTTGAAAAACAAACATCGACCTCATTATTCTTTGATTGAACGACGCTTTTTCTCTTTGACATGCCGAACTCGTGCCAAAGTAGACAGAGCTCTTCAGCTTTAGTTGAACTCAAGCGATTCAAGGACATGCTCGGCACGCTTCGCTTTCTTGAATCCACTGATCACGTTTTTGAAAGGCGACAACTACACTACAATAAAGAGGAGAAACGTATGTCCTATGTTCTTTTATCGGAGTAGTTCAAACATTATTCAAGCGAACAGCGCCATAAACGTGTGAGTGTACTAATGAAGGGTCAGTTTTTCAAACTTTCTAATGAGAACCTTATGCAAAAACGCCCTTTATAAACCGTTTCGTGAACTTCTTGTTCCCAATTCATTTAATATTTGTTTCTGCCTCTTGGCTTGAACATTAAGTGCATAAACGCAAGTATAGGCGTTGCCGTTCAGGAATTACACCGGGTTGTCAAAGATAAGGATCTCAACTCTCTCTGACAACATAGTTTTATTTAAAAGGGTGTGTTGTACCGCTAGATGAGTGGGGAAAAGAGACTATAAGGGAACGCCTTTATTTCAAACCTAGAGAAGGATTATCTCTTGATGCGCAGTTTAAAAGTTGCAGCTGTGAATTCATGGTTGCGTTTTTACCTTCTATGACGAGAAGGCTATTCCTGTTCTGATATTTCAAACGAGATTTGAAGATCGCGGTTCATATCTCTGCACTGGCTTTGACTTCAGTGAGAAAGCACCCAGTCATGATGACTGATTCCTACTGATTCCTATGCTGGCTGTACTAACTTCGACAATTTTCCGAGGCAAAATGTACTCTTTGTAGGCACTCGTTCCGAACCCTGCCTGTAAATGGAAAAAGAAGGACAAAATTAGTTTAGATTATATAAACCAAAATGGCTCATAGTTTCTATTAGCGCTTGCAGTTACACTGTACATAAATCGTTTTGACAGATCACTGAAGCTGAACGAAACGGTCTAAAATCTTTTGTAAAACTCTGGTTATTAAATCGGCAAGATTGGTCTTTTGGATCCGCCTTGTCATTCAGTGGTCACGCTTGAGAGCCAGATCGTAGTATGATTTCAATAAACTTTCAAAAAATAACTTGGGATGTCTTATATTAAAAAAAAAAAAATTCTTATTAGTTCCACAAAAGGAAAGTTTTTCTTACTTTCACTAACTTCTTCGTAACAATCTTTCGTTCTGTCCGTTTACGTTTCGGTCAAAGTTAACGTTTTTAAGCAACCGGTGAAGGTGGATAAGGCCAGGTTAAATTAACGTTATTAATAAGCTTTTTGCAAACTCTGTTTATTTAGTTAATATATGGATTTAAAAATTTTGGGCCTGAGTTGATAAAATCGTTAATTTACTTATCTTTGATCAATTCAAAGAGTGAGTAGGGAGAATTAAGTAATTAGAATAAACTGATGTCAAGTTATTATTTATAAACTGAAACAATAAGCGATATTGTAAATTTCCAGTAACAGTTCCGTCAATTCTACCTCTGCACCGACCTTTGCCATCAAAACGACCGCCGATTTGAATAACGAGTGAACAAAATTATGAGTCAAGTTACAGCATCAAAATCTTTAGATTGCCTGTGCAGTTTTCAAAACGAATTTCTGGAAAAGAGGGTTAATCAGCATTAATAATTTAAGACTTATAATGAGAATCTGCTGCAACACTCTCGATGTTTCACTATGCCTGACTTTTGTTATGTACTATGTGCTTTTCTTTACGATGACTTTTGACTAAAGGTAAAATAACGTTTAACAACAGTCAAGCCGGTTTAAGTCGCAGCGAAGAATAATTTCAGTCCAGTGACCCTCGAAATTGCGGCAAGCGGTTGCCGAGACCGCAAGAATTGTCGGCAAACATACTCCCCAGCAAAACAAGCAGTCTCTTTTACATCAGGTTGCCGTGAAAGTTGTAAAGAACTCGGCATGCTAAAGAAAACCTCTCTATTTATTTCTCATTCACTGTAACCACACACAGAAGCCGATGATAAAAGGAAAACAATTAACTACAAGCGTGCCTAACCACTGTGAAATTAACGCCGCGAGACTAAGTCACGTTTGGCGCAGCCGCAACGTTGTTTGACAAAATCTGAATGTCAGACTAATCTCCGGCACGAAAAATACATTTCTGCACCAAACTGAGAGCTAACCGTGCAACCCTCGTACAACATTTAAGAAGATATTGACTCAAACCCGTTTTAGCAGGACACGAAGGATTCTGCTTGCATTGAGGTTTATAGAAAGGTCAGCTTAAAGTGGTTAATTGAGCATATAACAATTTGTCTATTCTTTTGAGTAAGATCAATCATTTCTCAAGGAGACTAATGAAAAATCTAAATTTATATTTCATTTCAAGGTTATTTTAAGACTTCATTCTAGAATAAGATTTTACACAAATATGTCCATAGGCCCAAGCTATACACCCTGAAGGTTTAATTTCCAACCATTCCAATTAAATGACACAAATGACTTTTTTTCCGTATGCAAATGATAAACCAAGGTTCCTTAAAAGGGAATTTTGGTTTCAATAACCTCAAACTGCTTGCCGAATATTCCAATTAGTTAGTGTACTCAGAAACCCAGTACAGAGGTCCATCTGACTACGCCGTTTAAAATCGACGAAGTGTGTTTCACGCTCTCAAAAGCTTTATTTTTGTTAAACCATTGTGCTGCGTGTCCAGTCTTAAACACCTTCGATGTTTCTGTAGATAATTCGGGAAACGGAAGGAATTTATCTTACCTTCCCGACTGTTCTGGGTAGATCGAAGGGCCTGACTGTTTACAGGGTATCAATTAAATTTTCACAGCAATTTGTGTTGAATTTGAACGCACTTATTTGGGAAACTAGTCAAACCAAGTTGAGCTGCTGCATTTATTAGCCACCTTTATTTGCAGGGATTCCTAGATTTTTGGCATTTCCACGGCTTTGACAAATGCACGCATGAACACGAAATTAATAATTATAAGCATCTTACTCAGCATTGTGGTCACATCATTAAAGGAGCTGTGTCATGGCTTTCTGGTTAATTTCCTTGATTATAATAATAATAACAATAATAATAATGACAAACTTTATTTATATAGCGCTATTTCTAGAAGCTCAAAAGCGCTTTACAGAATTCATAAAAAATAAAAAATAATGGATTAAAAACCTATATCGAATCATGATATAAAGAACACCTAATGAATTACAAATTAAGTTACAACAAAAAAAATTTAAAAATTAAAAATTCTAAGCTTCATTTAAAAACTAAATCCCTACAACTTAAAACGACAAAAAACGATGATTTAATATTCTATAATTATATTACATTGGCTTTAAAAACCTAGTCCCCGTAAGTAAGTAATGCCAACTGCGCATCCTTCAATCGCTATTTAAGGGCCTATTTACATGGAGGTGGGAACCCCCGGTAGGTGAGGTTACCCGCTTAAAACACCGCCATCCCGGTGTCACTTTGTCAAGATTATTGAATGGTCGCTGAGCACGTAAACAAGAAAAATGCTGGCAAACCACATGTTTTGGCGATTTATGCTCTTCTACACTCACTTGCTGTTGTTGCTGCAACCTTCAGTACAGTGGCTTTCTATTGTTACCTTTAAAGATAATGTTAAGCCACCGTCATAGTGAATTTTACACGGATTTGATGTATCACGAATCCGACCCCGGGTAAAAAGATCAGACTGTTTTGATTTTTCATAATTCTTTCTGGCAAATAATCTTGTAATTAACTATCGATTCATACGGGCTGTCGATCGTCTTCGGGACACGTATTTCCCGACCTGGGATTGAGTCCTCAAATGCATGCATACCATAAATTGTTTTCGGAATTTAGAAACAGCCCACGCGTGGACGGTTAAACGAAACTTCTCGAAAATAGCGCAGGTGCCGCAAATTCTTATGACGGGCCGGAAGAAGAAAACTAATCAATTAATTAGACTGAACTACTTCAGTTATTTGCATTCTTTGAGCTACTATTTTAATAATCAGTGGCAAATTACTAATTAGTGTCTTTATTTCGCACCTCATTTCCAACAGGTCATTATATATGTAAAGAAAGTTTTTAGAAGTGCCGCAAAGTTAAAGAACGAGCCGATACACATGCCGCCGGAAAGACTCGCGAAAAACGGAGTCTTATCTGACTTCGCATCTGCGAATTGTGGTTTCCCGTCGCAAGAGTATTGCCTTTAGGCCTTCGCCATTTTACTTAACAGCTCATCTAGTGAGACCGCTTGCGCGAGAATTAATTTCCATTGGTCACCTGAACGAAATTTTGAAGGTCTAGAACAATTCATGGAGTCCATAATTTATAATAACGGTCTTCCGGATTTATACCTTTAGATTTGATTACCTTTCTTAGTTGATAATATGTATGCCATCTAGATATTCTCTTTTCTTAGTCCGGGTCGACTAGATTGACACTGGTTTTGACCAGGTAGTTGTTAAATAGAATCAAACTCAAACTCTGGTATACGTTCATGATAATTGTTACGAATATTAAGAAA